AAAAAAAAAAAAAAAAAAAAAAAAAAAAAAAAAAAAAAAAAAAAAAAAAAAAAAAAAAAAAAGTTAGTTTACCCTAAAGATGAAATAAGTTGTTCAATAGATCTGCGACCTAAAATTTGGTGAACAACTTTCCGACCCCAATTGAGTTTGTGCCGAGTAAGAGAACCGCTCAAAATTTCTAGGCCTCCCTAGAAGCTCCCATAGTTATAGAATTAGGTTTGAACTTTTTCATGTTAACTTATTAGAAATTGGATTTGATGAGAGCCTATAAGTAGGCTAATTATGGAGTATTTTTATACCCATTCCATATTACATTTCTTTTTCAAGTGTTCACTGATTGCCAATCGAGGCGGGGAACGCTAAAAGCGTTGTGCGGTCATAAAGAAGTCGTTTCAAAGTGTCAGTCTATCTTTATATTTTCGGTCTTGTTATTTTGTGTGAATTTTATATCCTGAACGTCATCTCATGTCTGGAAATAAAATTGAAGAGCACCAACTTATACTAGATTTCGTTATGTTTTTAAGTGTGGTGTTTGTTTTAATTTGCACAAGATTTATCAATTTTTTTTTTACTTACTTTCATTTTGTCTTTTTCAAGTTTCAAAACCTAAAAAGTTAGTTCGTAGCACTAGATTTCTTTACCACAATTTTTAATGGGATAGGTCATTAATGCACATGAATAATGTTTCCCCCCACTCCCCGATTTTTGAAGAAATTTCAAAAATCAAATTGAGGCTAAAAAAGAAGATACAAAAAGACTCCGACATCTAAAAATAGACTGACATTGAACGATCCCCTCCGTGACTGCACAGCTCTCGAACCCCTCCGTGACTGCACAGCTCTCGAACGCTCCTCTACCTTGATCAGTAGCTTGCAAACACCTGAAAAAGAAAGAGGAGAGGAGAGAGTATAAAAGTACTAAGTACGCAATCTACTTGTAGGCTCTCATCGCATTTTTAACCTAGTAAATATCCATATGCTTTGCTTTGGGCTCTAGGAAGTTCGGGCCTAGGTTCCAATGCTATCCAAACAGTTGGGTACCCCCCACGTTCCAAGTAGGTCTTTGAACTAAAACGTACCCCTTATGGTCTGTACCAGTTTTCCAATCTTTCTTTTTTATGACTTAGGTGACTTGCCTTGCTCCTATGTAGTGAATGACTAGTGTTCTAAGTTGAGGTGCGACCTCGAGACAATAGGGCTAGATCTGAATTTGAACAAAAATTTGAACATCATCCATGGGGTTAGCTGATGAACTCTCCCACGCGACCATAAATTCGCCAAAGTTTGGAGGAAGCGATCTCCCATGTGTCGGTCAACTACTAGATCAACCTACGTGGTCCCTTGCTCAGGGATGGGTTTACAACACAGGGGTCATGTTCAAGAGACCCCTGGTCATTTCCGCTGGGTTGGGCACATGTCTCGCTACCTTAACTGACGTCGCCTAGATCCACGGTATAGAGATTGGAGTAGAGTCTCAATAGTATGGTACCAGAGCGAAAAATGCAGTGGACAGTCTGATGATACTATTCACACTATTATAGCCTGATGAGCTACCTTAGTCGTTCTTGGTTGTTGTGGAGACCTGTGAGGTTCTTAGGGGATTCTAGGCAGTCTAAATCTCATCTTTTGTTTCTAGGACATTCGGGGTTAGCTCCTCGGGCCAAACCATTCTTTGAATGTACATAGGTCAAACCTTTGATCGCTCACGATCTTTGGGTGCAAGGTCTACTGGAAACGTACTGATCTGGGTCAACATGTAAACCGCACTAGCTGTAGTGCCCTAATCTCAACTATGTTCCCTCGTACATGCTTTGCTAAGGAGATTTTCTTATCGATCACCTAAGCATATAAACCATAATTTAAACTTCGCCTTGGTCATATTTGGGAGCTAAAGAGGTCTATTAGGTCTTACGGTGGCTAGGTGACGTAAAGTGCTTCTGACTCTAGGCTATTATGTTTTAACTCCTCGAGTCTTTCTTGGTCTGGGAGCACTAGAGTCTAAACCCTTTGGCTGTTGCTCATGACCCTACGGTGAATCCCCATGGAAGTTCTTAGGACAACGACTGGTATAGTTTCCTTCGGTGTTAATACACTTGGCCTTGTGCATACAGTCATCCCCATCTAAAAAGGGTTCCAAATTTAGGGTTAAAGTTACAAATCCTAATAAAACTTGTTTTAAAATCATCTAGTCTGCCAAGTCTTAACACTAACAGATATCGTTGATTTTGATTAGTTAAAGCATATGTGCTTGAGAAAGGTTTCCACACCCTTACCAGAAATGCTTTGTTCCCCTCTCCACCCAATGTGGGATCTCACAATCCACCCCCTTAGGGGATCAACATCTAACTCTGATACTATTTGTAACAGCTCAAGCACACCGCTAGCAAATATTGTCCGTTTTGGCCTGTTGTGTATAGCTATCAGCCTCACGGTTTTAAAACGCGTCTTCTAGAGAGAGATTCCACATGTTTACAACGAATGTTATGTTTTCCTCTCCAATCAATATGGGATCTCACGATCCAACTGAAAGATAAATAAGCTTTTACCTTGACATCCTTTCGAGATATGGATTCCCCTCGTAACCATCCAAGCATTGGCATCGATAATGAGTTCCATTAAAGATACTACTATTCCTTCTGGCGTTTAGTCCACAATCAAGTTCTAATTCGTTTCTAATGCCCCAACCAAGCACAACCTCAACCTCCTTATCTTTAAAATTCTTAATAAAACTTGACAAAAACTTGAACCTCTCAGCTTCGATTATAAAAGCATACCCACAGGGATTGAATTTCCATACGTCAGTGGAATGCAACAACTCACCCACCGCCAATCTCAAATTGCTTAACCCATCTGGAATCTCCAACTGACAGCACCCACTCCCAGAACACGACTCATCAACTACACTACTGTTCTTTGTACACATCGAAATACACCTACTTTCAAAGTCACTCCCTTGGTAAGCCCCCAAGATTAACCCAACATGATTGCACCCAATGGTAATGAACTTATTTTTGGAACGAGAATGTGGGTACATGTCCGGCACAGAAAGATTGGAAACCCTCGTAAATGCGTCCCTGTAACAATTTTGCACTACCCGCTGCAACACATGAAGCTCACCATTAGTAGATATTGTTGATAATTCTAATATGGGTATGCATTAGAAACGCCTTTAAAGGTCCGTTGCGTCGGTTTTGTGGCAAGTGACCGAGAAATTGACCGAGGAATTTTGATTGAAATAGCACCCTTCTTTCATGCCGAATGGATATGGAATGTGCACGTCGCCACACCGTTCTTCACATCCGGGTAAGGCTTGAGATGCTGCCACGGCCAAGGGTGTTGATAATATGGCTATGTTCATCATCACCACGAATGCCATGATGGGTTTCATTGTTTGTATTGAAGAAAGAAGAGATTTGGATTTATATATAGGAAATTGGGATGCAAATTGTAAGTTCTTGTCTGTTTGAGAACAATAGAATGAAAGAGAGGGACCGACTTTTCTTTGCAGTGATTAAATTGTAAAAATGGACACATAATTGACTAGTAGACTCATCATAGAAACATTTATAAAACGGGACGCCTGTGACAAAGAAACCTTTCTTATCTCCCTTCTCACTATCTTTTTTTAATTCTCGTCCCAAATAATTTATTATTTTTTAATATACTTGCTTAAATAAAAGAAAACAAAAAGTGGGTATATATAATCTTCATCTCTATCCCTATTTAGGAAATAAAAAAAATATTTTTTTCACCCTCTTTTTGTTCTTCCTTTCGATGAGAATTCTTCAAAATTAGAGAAAGAGCTGTCAACGTATCTCACTAAGTCTAAGTCATGAGAAATACAAATTCAGGCAAGTTGGAAGAAAATACCCACAACGACCAAATCAGCTTATAAATTTCTTCAATGCCGATAATGACTGCCGGATAGTGAGAGAAAAGACCAATTCAACGAAGAATGATATGAACTATGTAAATTGTATTTGTACCATTGGTTTGGGTTCATGATATAATTTGTTTAATAGGCCAAACATTTCTTATTAGAATGTTTAAGCCTCTCCTTAGTAGATGATTTTTGCAACCGTGAGTTTGACGGCGATATGTGACGGGATAAAGTGGACAATATTTGTTAGCGGTGGGCTTGGGTTGTTACAAATTGTATTAGAGCTAGACATCGAGTGGTGTGCGAGTGAGAGTGATGGCTTCCAAAGGGAGGATTGTGAGATCCCACATTGATTATATTGAGGATTGTTGGGATGGAGTCCCACATTGGCTAATTTAAGGAAAGCTCGTGAATTTATAAACAAGGAATACTATTTCCATTGAGATGATGCCTTTTGGAGAAACTCAAAACAAAACCATAAGAGCTTATGTTCAAAATGATGGAGAATCATAGGAAGGAGACCAATGGACAAACAACAACCTAAAAAGAAACTAATTAACATAATCTAATTTCACATGGACCAGATTAAGAGATGAGTCTTAAATATGAAAGGAACTTGCAATGTAAACATTTATGGTAATATAATTCATAGACTGAAGATCATCTACCATGCTCCATTAGTGTTATTTCCAGCTTTATGCTATTCCCCACAGTGCCCACACTTCCACTCCCAACCAATTGGCTCGACTCTGATGCTCCATCCAGCAAATACACCGTCTCTTCTGCGCTGGATAAATTGACATTGGCCCATGAATGCTCACCCTTCGTTGCCCGCAGCCCCTCCAACTCCATAGCCACCTCCTTCATGCTCGGCCTCTCCTCCCCTTTGATTCTTACACACTCTCTTGCTAGCTTAGCCGCTTCCTTTATTTGCTCCATGTTTGCCTCACTCACCATTCCCTTCTCCACCACTTCTTCCAAACGCTCTTCTTTTATTGCACAAAGGACATACATGGCTAGGTTTCGATCTTCTTCCGGCCCATCAAACCTCACCGCTTTCTTCCCCGTTATAAGCTCCAAAAGCACAATTCCAAAGCTATACACATCACTCTTCTCAGTTAACTCGCTCGTCAATAAGTACTCAGGGTCTAAGTACCCGAGAGTCCCTTGCACGAGCGTGGTTAGCTGAGTTTGATCCATAGGAACCAACTTGGAAGCACCAAAATCAGACACCTTTGCAGTGTAGTTATCGTCTAAAAGTATGTTGGTCGTCTTGATATCTCTGTGGATAATGGGAATAGAAGCCGAAGAATGCAAATACGAAATGACACCGGCTGTTTCCGAAGCGATTCTCAAGCGAGCTTCCCAAGAAAGAGGGACGTGTTTGGTAGTGTCATGGATGTGATCAAAGAGGGTGCCGTTGGTGACGAACTCGTAGACCAACAATGGGACTTGGGTCTCTAAACAGCACCCTAAGAGCTTGACCACGTTTCGATGGTTGATTTGGGAAAGAACAATGACTTCATTGATGAACTGTGATGTTTGGGATTCGTCCATGAATTTTGATTTCTTGATTGCAATGGTGAGTCCATCGTCCAAGACACCTTTGTAAACAGTACCGAAGCCACCTTTGCCAGCAATGGTGTCCTGGGCGTAGTTGTTGGTGGCCTTCTCTAACTCTTCTTGGCTGAAAATTCTAACCATGTCGTTTGGTGAATTCCATTGAGAAAGCTGTCGTTGAAGCACAAAGCCTCCATTTTTGTGGAAGAAAAGCTGTTTTTGTTTGATGAACTTCAATTTCTTGTAACCCAAGTAGATGGTTGTGGTGGCTATTAGTAAAACTGGGAGGCCTACCCCAATCCCTGCATTTTATTTGTGTTGTTGTTTAGTATATTATAGTGAAAAACATGCATTAAGAACATATAAAAACTCACCAATGATGATAGGAATGGAAGAGGTGGAATTTTTGGTGCAACCTTCTCCGCCTTCTCTTCCATCTCCATGGAAGTTCTTAGGACAATGACAGGTATAGTTTCCTTTAGTGTTAGCACACTTGTCCTTGTACTCACAGTCATTCAGCCATGCATACTCGCATTCATCCACATCTAAAAAGGGTTCAATTCAGCGGTTAGGTTACAAATCCTAATAAAACTTATTTTAAAATCTCCTAACCGGTAACCGTCCAAGTCCAAGTCCACCATTAGCAGATATTGTCTGTTTTGACTCGTTGTTACATAGTGATGTCAGCCTCACGGCTTGACGGCTTGTCTGCTATGGAGAGGTTTCCACACCCTTGTAAGAAATGTTTTGTTCTTCTCTCAAACCGATGTGGGATCTCACAATTCACTTCCTTGGGGGCTTGCGTCCCCGCTGGCACACCGTCCAGTGTCTAGCTCTGAAACCATTTGTAATAGCTCAAGCTCACCGCTAGCAAATATCATCCGTTTTGGCCTGTTATGTATCGTCATCAGCCTCACGGTTTTAAATTGCGTTTACTAGTGAGAGGTTTCCCCACTCTTAGAAGGAATGTTTCGTTTCTCTCTCCAACCAATGTGGGATCTCACAAAACATTCCCTTAGGGGCCAGGGTTCTCGCTAGAACACCGTTCGATGTTTAGTTTTGATATCTTTTGTAATAGCCCAAACCCACTGCTAACAAATATTACCAGTTTTGGCCCTCGTCATCAGCCTCATGGTTCTAAAACATGTTTGCTAGAGAGAGATATCCACACTCTTACAAGAAATGCTTCGTTTTCCTCTGCAACCGATGTGGGATCTCATAATCCACTCCTTTGAGGGCCAGTGTCTTTGCTGGCACACCGTCCGGTATCTAGCTCTGATATCGTCCATTTTGGCCCATTACATATCACCATTAGCCTCACAATTTTAAAACGCGTCTATTAGAGAGAGGTTTCCACACCCTTATAAGAAATGCTTCTTCCTCCTCTCCAACCAATGTAAAATCTCACATAACTAAGATAAATAAGGCTTTACCTTGGCATCCTTGAGGGAGATATGGATTCCCATCGTAACCATCCAAGCATTGGCAACGATATTCAGTTCCATCAAGGATACTACTCCTTGTGGTGTTTGATCCACATTCAAATCTTGTTTCATTTCTAATGCCCCAATCAAGCACAACCTCAACTTCCTCATCTTCAAAATTCTCAATATAACTTGACAAAAACTCGAACCTCTTCTCTTCTTCAATCACAAAAGCATACCCACAGGGATTGAATGTCCTTACATCAGTGAAATTCAACAACCCACCCACCGCCACGCTCAAATTGGTTAACCCATTTGGAAACTCCAACTGACAGCACCCATTGCCAGAACACGGCCCATTAACTACACTACTCTTATTTAAACACACCGAAATACACCCACTTCCATACAAACTCCCTTGGTGATTTCCAGTGATTACACTAAGAGTGTTGCACCCAATGGTAACGAACTTGTTTTTGGTACCAGAAATTGAGAACATGGCCGGCACAGAAAGATTGGATTCGTTGGGAACAAAACTACCATTTACTTGGTCGTAGCAAGTTCGCACTACCGGCTGCAACACGTGAAGCTCACCGTTAGTAGATATATTGGTAACGCTAATATTGGTCTGCATTAGATACGCCTTTGGAGGTCCATTGCGATCGGTTTTGTTGCAAGTGATCGAGAAATTTTGATTGAGATAGCACCCTTCTTTGATGCCGAATGGATATGGAATATGCACGTCGCCACACCGGTCGTCACACTGGGGTAAGGCTTGAGATGCTACCATGGCCAAGGCTGTTGATAATATGGCTATCTCCATTATCATCACCATGAATGCCATGATGTGTTTCATTGTTTGTAATGAAGAAAGAAGATAATTGGATTTATAGTTAGGAAATTGGGATGCAAATTGTAAGACATACTTTTCTTTGCCGTGTTTAAATTGTAAAAATTGACATCGTGGATTGGATTAGAGAAATATCTATGAAACGGGGCCCGTGACAAAGAAACTTTATTTAATTATCTCGGTTGTCACTCTCTTCTTTAATTCGTGTCCCAAATAATTTTTTTTTTTAATATACTTGCTCAAATAAAAGAAAACAAAAAGTCTATTCTCATTTAGCTAATAAAAAAAAATCTCTTCCGACTCTTGTCTTTGTTTAAATGAGAATTCTTCATCCTATTTTTTAGGGCTCGTTTGAACATTTATATTGTCGATGTCTTGAACTTTCAATTAGTGAATATTATTACGATGGATAAGCTCAAAATTAGAGAAGGAGCTCTCAAGGCATGCCACTAGTCGAGTCATGAGAAATAACACAGCAAATTCAGACAAGTTGGTAGAAAATACCCTCAACGACCAAATCAGAGCATAAATTTCTTCAGTGTCGATAATGACTCGATAATGATAGTGAGGAGAAACACGTTGGTTGGAGAGAGAATAAAACATTTCTTACTAGAATGTTGAAACCTCTTCTTAGTAGATGGTTTTTGAAATCGTGAGTCTAACGACCATATGTAACGAGACAAAATGGACAGTATTTGTTAGCAGTGGGCTTAGACTGTTACAAATGGTATTAAAGCTAGACATCGAACGGTGTGCGAGCTAGAGTGCTGGCCTCCAAGAGGGAAGATTGTGAGATCCCACATCGATTGGAGAGGGATGTTGAGGATTGTTGGGACGGAGTCTCACATGGGCTAATTTAGGAAATGATCATGAGTTTATAAGTAGGAATATGATCTCCTCTCCAAAGGAAAACAAAGTCATGAGAGTTTATACTCAAAGTAGACAATATCATACTACTGTGGAAATCTGTGATTCCTAACATGCTCTTAGAGTCATACCCTTGACTTAGCTATGTCAATAAAATCCTCAAATGTCGAACTAAGAAGTTCCGAATCTCGAAGATGTAGTCAAAAGTGAAGGTTATTCGAGGGCTCCAAAGCCATTAGAGCTTATTATGCTCAAAGTGGACAATATCATACTAGGGAAGGAGTCGAGTCTCAATTGAGGGGAGATTGTTCGAGGGCTCCACAGGCCTCAGGAGAGACTCGTTTATAAGTAGGAATATCATCCTCATTGGTACGAGGCCTTTTAGGAATACGTAACCGGGACAAGGCCTGTGGACAATATCTCCACAAGCCTCAGGAGAGGCTCGTTTATAAGTAAGAATATCATCCTCATTGGTATGAGGCATTTTAGGAATATCATCCTCTAAATTAGTCAATGTGAGACTCTCTCCCAACCATCTTCAACAGTCTTGGTGGAGGATGCTCAAGTCTATTGGATCACAGTGAAGGCCAATGCCTAGGGCCATGCCGCCTTGTTCACAAACTGGGTAGCGGTTTAATCGTAAAATTAAATCCAAACAAAATTAATTATACTATTCAAAACTCAATTCACCAGTTACAACAAAAATTCAACCCTAAATATAATTTTAATTTAAAAAATTCAACAATTATATTTGACATATCCGAAATTATATCTTAACTACTTTAAATCATATCTCAACATTTCATTGTTTGTAAATGGTAAGTTCTCATCTCTAGGGACAGACTTTTCTATGAGGTGTTTAAATTGTAAAAATGGACACTTAATTGACTAGTCGACTCGATTAGAGAAATATCTATGAAATTGGCCCGTGACAAAGGAACTTTCTTTATCTCCGTTTTGACTGTCTTTTTTAGTTCTCGTCCCAAATAATTTTTTATTTTTTAATATACTTGCTCAAATAAAAGAAAACAAAAAGTGGGTATATATAATCTTCGTCTCTATTCTCATTTAGCTAATAAATAAAAAATCTCTTCCCACTCTCGTCTTCGTTATCAGTCTAAATGAGAATTTTTCACCCTATTTTTTAGGGCTCGTGTGAACATTTCTATTGTCGGTGTCTTGAACTTTTAAACGATGGTGAATATTATTACAATGGATTATAACCTCAAAATGAGAGAAAGAGCCGTCAAGTCATGAGAAATAACATAGCAAATTCAGACAAGTTGGTAGAAAATAATCGCAACGAACAAATCAACTCAAAAATTTGTTCGATAATGACTTCCTGAGAGTGAGGAGAAAAGATCCATTCAATTCAACTAACAATGAGTGAGGCACTTGTAGCATATAATTTGTTTAATAGGCTTCGAAGTGTTGGAGAGACGAATAAAGTAAACTAATCCTTACAAAAATGTTGAAACCTCTCCTTAGTAGATACATTTTGAAACTGTGAGTCTGACGGGGATACGTAACGAGACAAAGCGGATAATATCTGCTAGCGGTGAGCATTTTAGAGAGTCATTTAAAGAAACCCCTGACTAACCATGAAGATGTGCCAAAGACTTTAAGGCCACCTTTAGTGTTGGGAATCAGGGATCTCCAGAATGGTGAGATATTATCCACTTTAAGCATAAGCCTCGTGGCTTTACTTTCGGCTTCCACAAAAGGCCTCATACCAATAAAATGTATTTCTTAGTTATAAACTTATGATTATCCCTAAAATTAGCGAATGTGAGACTCCCTCCCAACAATCTTCAACCCTGTTGGTAGAGGATTCTCAAACGTGTTGGATCATAGTGAGGGCCAATGCCGAGGGCCATGCCGCCTTGTTCGCAAACTTGGTAGTTGTTTAATCGCAAAATTAAATACAAACAAAATTAATTATACCCACCCTCTACTAATAATTTTTGCAGCCTTTTACAAGTCTTGTGGAAATATTTTATGTCTTGTGGAAATATTTTATGTCTCGTGGAAATTGTATTATTTGACTTGGTTATTAATAATAAGTCAAGACAAAGTCCACTTGCTTTAGACATCAACAATTACCTTCTTCGAGCATGTCATGTGGCACGTCCTTCTAAGATTTGATTAGATTGAGTTGAGACATTTTTTTCGATTAAATTCAAAAGATGTATTCTTTACTTATAAATTTATAATCTAACCTCTTAATTAGTCGATATGAGATTTCTTCTCGAAAGTCTCCGAACAAAATACATCAGAACTTTATTAATATGACTAAGTTAAGAGAATGGTTTTGATATCCGGTTAGAAAACACAACTATCCACAATTATATGATATTAAAGATTTTATTGACATGACTAAGTTAAGAGCATGACTTTAATACCATGTTATGAACTACGACTCTTCACAATAATATGATATTGTCTACTTTGAACATAAGCTTTCACGGGTTTACTTTTAATTTCTAGACCTCGTACTAATAGAGATGTATTTCTTAGTTATAAACATATGATCAACTCTTAATTAGCTGACTTGGGACTCCTTCCTAACGGTTCGGAAGATGAGTAATTTATTAAATAATAAATCCAAGGCAACTTGCAACTTTTTAGACAAGTTCCATCCAATTTGTTGAATAAAATTTAAATTCCCTGTCCCACAAAGAATCAAATCAAAGTCCTTAAATTCTGAGCAACAAGCTCAATTTCACTTCCATCTCAAAACCCTTCAACAACTTTCACCATCTTCATCCTTTCCCTTCGCATGGGGCGACAAATCGAGACGCTCATTCGACTAATGACCACAAACATACTCATCCTATCACCGCTGGTTTACGCAGCAACGGCGGTAGCAGCATTTCAAGCCTTACCCGGGTGCGACGATCGGTGTGGCGACTTGCAGATTCCATATCCATTTGGCACTAGGGAAGGGTGTTACCTGAACAAAAATTTCTTGATTACCTGTAACACAACTCATGACGATCGCCCAACGCCATTTCTCCGGACCGGCAACATTCAAGTTACGAATATATCCATCTCCGGTGAGCTGCACATCTCAAACGTCGTGGCCAAAGATTGCTACCCCAAAAGCAATAGTCTTAAAGCACGTCCGTCCTCCGCCACTCTCAACTTATTAGAATTCACAGTTTCCAGTACCAAAAACAAGTTCACTGTTATTGGTTGTGATACTTACGCTTATCTTTCTGGCCTAATCGAGGGGCAAACCTATACAACAGGATGCATGGCGTTGTGTGATAATATCACCACCGTAAGAGATGGCGCCTGCTCAGGTAATGGGTGCTGTCAGCTGGACATCCCCAGCGGCTTAAAGGGTTTGAGATGTAGGGTGCAGAGCTTCAAAAATCATAGTAAGGTCTTGAGTTATAATCCATGTGGGTATGCCTTTGTGACTGAAGAAGACAAGTTTAATTTCTCGGGGGCTTATATTCGTAATTTCACACAAAAGAGAGTTCCGGCGGTGCTTGATTGGGGTATTAGTAATACCACTTGCTTGACGGCTAACAACGAAAGTAATTGTGTTTGTGGGCCCAATAGCATGAAGGTTACCTCTCTCCCCGATGGATCTGAGTATCGTTGTGGGTGCTTGGAAGGGTTTGAGGGTAATCCTTATCTTCCTCAAGGATGTCAAGGTAAAGTGTTTGGGATTGTTAGAATTGTTGGAAATGATAATTGGGGTGTTAAGATGATGTATTGTTTGAATTTTGTTGTTGTTTCAGATATTGATGAATGTAGGGATGAAAGGCTGAATGATTGCAAGTTTGAGTGTGTTAACACTGAAGGGAACTATACTTGTAATTGTCCGGAGGGTTTTAAAGGTGATGGACGACGTAGGGGTGAAGGTTGCACTCGAAGCTCCAAGTCTTTTGTTCAAGTTATCATTGGTGAGTTCATTTGATATTTGTGTTGTAATTATGTCTTGTGTTTAAGATTTTGATTAGGGTTAGAAATTTTGTGAGATTTTATATTAGCGGGAGAGGGGAATGAAAGATGTGAGACCTCTTCGTAGTAGATGGGTTTTGAAAACGTTGAGGATTAGTCCGATAGGGAAAGTCTAAAGAGGATAATTTCTGGTAGCTGAGAGTTTGGGTTGTTACAAATGGTATCAGAGCTAGACACTAGGCGATGTGTGCCACTAAAAACATTGGGACCTCAAGGAGGTGGATTGTGAGATCCCACATCTGTTGGAGAGGGGAATGAAGGGTATGGAAACGACACCTCTCCGTAGCAGATGCGTTTTAAAAACCTTGAGGGTTAGCTTGATAGGGAAAGCCTAAAGAGGACAATATATGCTACTGGTGGGTTTGGATTGTTACAAATGGTATGAAAGCCAGACATCGGACGGTGTGGAAACCTCTCTCCAGCAAACGCGTTTTTAGAAAGCTTGAGGAGAAACCCAAAAGGGAAAATCCAAAAAAGACAATATTTATTAGTGGTGGGCTTGGGCTGTTACATGTTCGATACGTGATGACTCCTTTATCCTCACCCTAAACTAATATCAAGTAAAACACGGTTAACTTTAAAATTCCTATGATTGAGCCACTTAAAAAAAGTATGTGCACTTCTTTTAATTCTTTTAAGTTTTCCTTATCATTCTAAACCTAAGATCACTCATTCGAATATGGTCTCTATTCATTCATGTACTTATTCTAAGAATGATGTCACATCTATATCTATCCGTTCTTGGTATGTGTTTCATCTTCTCCTACTTGGTTCTATTTTTTTCATACAAATCTTTACAATTGATGAAACAAAATGCAGGAGTATCCGTGGGGTTCACAGTCTTAGTAATTGGGAGTACATGGCTATACTTAGGCTACAGAAAATGGAAGCTCATCAAACTAAAAGAGAAGTTCTTCGAGGAACATGGAGGCTTAATGCTTCAACGACATCTCTCTCAATGGAAATCATCCACAGACATGGTCACAATCTTCACCCAAGAGGAGCTAGACAAGGCTACAAACAAGTACGATGAAAGCGCCGTGATTGGAAAAGGCGGCTACGGCACAGTCTACAAAGGCATCTTACCTGACGGCTCAGTAGTAGCAATCAAAAAATCAAAATTAGTGGACCAATCCCAAACTTCCCAATTCATCAACGAAGTTATCGTCCTATCCCAAATCAACCACCGTAACGTGGTCAGGCTCGTGGGGTGCTGTTTAGAGACCCAAGTTCCATTGTTGGTGTACGAGTTCATAACCAATGGCACCCTCTTCGATCACATCCATGATACTACAAAACACGTCCCACTTTCTTGGAAAGCTCGCTTGAGAATCGCTTCGGAAACTGCCGGAGTCATTTCGTATTTGCATTCTTCAGCTTCTATTCCCATCATCCATAGAGATATCAAGACGACCAACATACTTTTAGATGATAATTACAATGCAAAGGTGTCTGATTTTGGTGCTTCCAAGTTGGTTCCATTGGATCAAACTCAATTATCCACTATGGTTCAAGGGACTTTTGGATATTTGGACCCGGAGTATTTGTTAACGAGTGAGTTGACGGAGAAGAGCGATGTGTATAGCTTTGGAATTGTGCTTCTAGAGCTGATAACCGGGAAGAAGGCAGGGAATTTCGAGGGGCCGGAAGCGGAGAGAAATTTAGCTGTGTATGTTTTACGTGCAATGAAGGAAGATCGGTTGGGGGATGTTGTGGAGAAGGGAATGGCGAGGGAAAGGGAATTTGAGCAGATAAAAGAAGTGGGGAAGGTGGCGAGGAAGTGCTTGAGAATAAGTGGGGAGGAGAGGCCGAGCATGAAGGAGGTGGGCATGGAGTTGGAGGGTTTGAGAGTGATGGTTGAACATGAGTGGGTTGATGAAGAAAAATTGGTGGCGGATGGAGCTTTGGATTCGACGTCGAATCAGTTTGTGGTGAGTGGGAGTATAAATGTTGAGGATGATAGCATAAAAGTTCAGGTTTTGCCACTGATTCATCATGGAAGATGATGAATTGTTTGATGAGCTCAAGATCGTTGGTTACCCAAATTGCTTATACTTTGAATTTCAATTCCTAACTTCATTATGTACTAAATGTTATGGAGTTTTCTATTTGTATTATTGGTTGAATCTCAGTAATTTAAAGATAAACGTGTAAAACGTGTTCGAGGTGCCCTTTAAAATACATTGAAAGGACATTCAATAAACAAAATATTTTACGAAAATATCAACGTACTAGCAAACTAGCTTCTATAAACTATGAGTCTCTTTAAACGAACATTTTATACTCGTGAGTTTCCACTTTCAAATCAAGTGGGATAGTGGTTTCACTCCGGATAATTCTTCCTTCATATAAAGGCCAATAAGTCTCCCTTCAATGAGGATGATTGTAGATTTTACGTTGGGCGACCCATGGAGAGGAACAACCATGGAGAGGAACAACCAAGCCAATGTACAAAAAATGAGATGGAACTATGTAAATCGTACTTGTACCATTCTTTTGGGGTTCATGGTATAATTTGTTTAATAGGCCTGAAACTAAGGTTATATGTTGTGAGATTCACGTTGGTTGGAGAGGGAACAAAACATTTCTTATCAGAATGTTGAAACATCTCTGTAGTAGATGGTGCTTGAAGCCGTGAGTCTAACGATGATATGTAACGGGACAAAACGAACGGTATCTGCTAGCGGTGGGCTTAGACTATTTCAAATGGTATTAAAACTAGATATCGAGCAGTGTGCAAGCTAGAGTGTTGGCCTCCAAGGGAAAGATTGTGAGATCCCACATTGATTGGAGAGGGGTGTTGAGGATTGTTGGGAGGGAGTCTCACATTGGCTAATTTTTATAAGTAGGAATATCATCTCCTCTCCAAAGCAAAGCAAACTCACGAGAGCTTATACTTAAAGTAGACAATATCATACTATTGTGGAAATCTGTGATTCCTAACATGCTATTAGAGTCATACCCTTAACTTAACTATGTCAATAGAATCCTCAAATGTCGAACTAAGAAATTGTGAGTCTCGAAGGTGTAGTCAAAAGTGACTCAAGTGTCAAACAAAGGTGTACTTTGTTCGAGAACTCTAGAGAAGAAGTCGAGCCTCGCTTAAGGGAAGGCTATTCGAGGGCTCCAAACCCATTAGAGCTTAGGCTCAAAGTAGACAATATCATACTAGGGAATGAGCCAAGCCTCAATTAAGGGGAGATTGTTCGAGGGCTCCACAAGCCTCACAAGAGGCTTGTTTATAAGTAGAAATATCATCTCCATTGGTACAAGGCCTTTTGGGAATACATAACGGGACAAGGCCTGTGGACAATATCTCCACAGGCCTCAGGAGAGGCTTGTTTATAATTTGGAATATCATCCTTATTGGTACGAGGCCTTTTGGGAATACGTAATGGGACAAGGCCTGTGGACAATATCTCCACAGGCCTCAGGAGAGGTTCGTTTATAAATAGAAATATCATCCCCATTGGTATAAAGCCTTTTAGGAGTATCATCCTCTAGATTAGCCAATGTGAGACTCCTTCCCAACCATGTCTTGGATCACAGTGAGGGCCAATGCACAAAAATTCAACCCTAAATATAATTTTAATTTAAAAAATTCACCAATTGTATTTTCCTACGTGGCATATCTGAGTCAATCTGAAAAAAAAAATTGTGAAAAACGTTTTTAAAAAATGGTACGATTTTATTATTATTAAATAGAAATTTGTTGATAATTATTATAGATAAAATAAAATAAAACAAAATAAAATGCAGCCATTGACCTACCCGCCCGCGACTACTAATTTTGCAGCCTTTTATAAGTCTTGTGGAAATATTTAAAAGGCAAATTGTCTTATTTGATTTGGTCGTTAATAATACGCCAAAGACAAAGTCCTCTTGCTTTAGGCGTCAACATTTACCATTCTTAAGCATGTCATGTTGGACTATCTTTAAACGCGATTTATGCCTGTGTACGATGTTCTAGGGTTTGATTAGATTGAGTTGAGACATATTTCGATCAAGTTAAATGTATTCTTTACTCATAAACTCATGATCAACCATGTAATTAACCGATGTGGGATTTTTTCTTAGAAGCCCCCGAACAAAGTGCATCATTTATTCGACACTTGAGGACTTTATTGATATGCCTAAGTTAAGAGCATGGGGCTGATATCATGTTAGGAAACACGACTCTCCATAATTGTATGATATTGAAGATTTTATTGACATGGGTATGACTTTGATTCTATGTTAGGAATCACAACTATTTACAATAGTATGATATTGTTCACTTTGAGCATAAGCTCTCACGACTTTACTTTTGGTTTCTCTAAGAGGCGTCTACCAATGGAGATGTATTCATTACTTATAAACACATGATCAACAACCTTTAATTAGTTGACGTGTGACTCCTCAGCATCATCAGTCTTGGTTTTTGGGTTTTGTATTTATTTAAAATATTCCATAACTTGCAACTTTTTAGACAAGTTCCTTCCAATTTCTTTAATAGAATTTTAATTCTCTCTCCAACAAAGAATCTCAGTCCTTAAATTCTCACCATCAAGCTCAATTTCCTTCCATCTCAAAACCCTTTTAACAACTTTCACCATCTCCATCATTTTCATTCAAACTTGTAACGATTCTTTGTCATGGAGCGTCAAATCGAGACGCTTATTCGACTCATGATCGTAAACATACTCATCCTATCGTCACCAGTTTACGCATCTCAAGCCTTACTCGGCTGCCCCGATCGGTGTGGCGACTTGCAGATACCATATCCATTCGGAACAAGGGAAGGGTGTTACCTAAACAAAAATTTCTTGATTACCTGTAACACAACTCATTTCAATCCCCCGAGGCCATTTCTCCGGACCGGCAACATTCAAGTTACGAATATATCCATCTCCGGTGAGCTCCAAATCTTGCACTTTGGGGCCAAAGATTGCTACCCCAAAAACAATAGCCTCGACGCACGTCGGACCTCCGCCACTCTCAACTTATCCACGTTCACAGTTTCCAGTACCAAAAACAAGTTCACTGTTATCGGCTGTGATACATACGCTTTTCTTTCTGGCCAAATCGAGGGGCAAAGCTATAGAACAGCATGCGTGGCGTTGTGTGATAACATCACCACCGTAAGAGATGGCGCCTGCTCTGGTAATGGGTGCTGTCAGCTTGACATCCCTAGCGGCTTAAAGGGTTTGAGGTATAGGGTGCGCAGCTTCGACAATCACACCGACGTCTTGAGCTTTAATCCATGTGGGTATGCCTTTGTGACCGAGGAAGACAAGTTTCATTTCTCGGCGGCTTATATTCGTGATTTCCCACAAAGGCAAGTTCCTGTTGTGCTTGATTGGGGTATTAGTAATACCACTTGCTCCACGGCTAACAACAAAAGTAATTGTATTTGTGGGCCCAATAGCATGATGGTTAACCCTCTCCATGATGGATCTGAGTATCGTTGCCGGTGCTTGGATGGGTTTGAGGGTAATCCTTATCTTCCTCGAGGATGTCAAGGTAAAGTGTTTGGGATTGTTAGAATTGTTGGAAGTGATAATTTGGGTGTTGATTTGAATTTTGTTGTTGTTTCAGATATTGATGAATGTAGGGATGAAAGGCTGAATGATTGCAAGTTTGAGTGTGTTAACACTAAAGGGAACTATACTTGTAATTGTCCGGAGGGTTTTAAAGGTGATGGACGACGTGGGGGTGAAGGTTGCACTCGAAGCTCCAAGTCTTTTGTTCAAGTTATCATTGGTGAGTTCATTTGATATTTGTGTTTGTGTTGTAATGTCTTGATGTTTAAGATTTGGATTAGGAAATTTGGTGAGATTTCATAGGGGAATGAAAGATGTGGAGACCTCTTCGTAGCAGATGGGTTCTGAAAACGTTGAGGGTTAGTCGGATAGGGAAAGAATAAAGAGGACAATTTCTGCTAGCGGTGGACTTGGGCTATTACAAATAGTATCAAAGGCAGACACCGGGTGGTGTGCCAATGAGGACGTTGGGCCTCCAATGGGGTGGATTGAGAGATCCCACATCTGTTGGAGAGGGGAATAAAGGGTGTAGAGCAGACGTGTTTTAAAAACCTTTGAGGGTTAGCTCAATAGGAAAGGACAATATCTACTAGTGGTGGACTTGGGCTGTAACAAATGGTATCAGAACTAGACACCGGCGGTGCGCCAACGAGAACGCTAGGTCCCCAAAGGGATGGATTATGAGATCCCATATCAGTTGGAGAGGGGAACAAAGGGTGTGGAAATCTCTCCGTAGCAGACACATTTTAGAAACATTGAGGGGAAACTCGAAAGGGAAAACCCAAAGAAAACAATATCTGCTACCGGTGGGCTTGGGTTGTTACAAATGGTATCAGAGCCAGACACCGAACAGTGTGCCAGCGAGGACGTTGGGCCCCCAAAGGGGTGGATTGTGAGATCCCACATCGGTTGGAGAAGAGAACGAAGAGTGTGGAAACCTCTATCTAGCCGACGCGTTTTCAGAAACCTTGAGGAGAAACCTAAAAGGACAATATCTATTTAGTGGTGGGCTTGGGCTATTACAGGTTCGATACATTATGACTCTACATGGTTCTCTCAACCTGCTTCATCCTCACCCTAAACTAATATCAAGTAAAACACGGATAATTTTAAAATTCCTATGATTGAGCCACTTAAAAAAAGAATGTGCACTTCTTTTAACCCTTTTAAGTTTTCCTTATCATTCTAAACCTAAGATGACTTATTCGAATATAGTCTCGACTCATTCATGCACCTATTCTAAGAGTGATGTCATATCTATATCTATTCGTTCCATGTGTTTCATCTTCTCCTACCTAGGCTCTATTTTGTCATACAAATCTTTATAATTTATGAAACAAAATGCAGGAGTATCCGTGGGGTTTACAGTCTTAGTAATTGGGAGTACATGGCTATACTTAGGCTACAGAAAGTGGAAGCTCATCAAACTAAAAGAGAAGTTCTTCGAGGAAAATGGAGGCTTAATGCTTCAACGACATCTCTCTCAATGGAAATCATCCACAGACACAGTCACAATCTTCACCCAAGAGGAGCTAGACAAGGCCACAAACAAGTACGATGAAAGCGCCGTGATTGGAAAAGGCGGCTACGGCACAGTCTACAAAGGCTTCTTACCCGACGGCTCAGTAGTAGCAATCAAAAAATCAAAATTAGTGGACCAATCCCAAACATCCCAATTCATCAATGAAGTCATTGTTCTTTCCCAAATCAACCATCGAAACGTGGTCAAGCTCTTAGGGTGTTGTTTGGAGACCCAAGTCCCATTGTTGGTCTACGAGTTCGTCACCAACGGCACCCTCTTCGACCACATCCATGACACTACCAAACACGTCCCACTTTCTTGGGAAGCTCGCTTGAGAATCGCTTCGGAAACTGCCGGGGTCATTTCGTATTTGCATTCATCAGCTTCCACTCCAATCATCCATAGAGATATCAAGACGACCAACATACTTTTAGACGATAATTACAATGCAAAGGTGTCTGATTTCGGTGCTTCCAAATTGGTTCCATTGGATCAAACTCAATTATCCACTATGGTTCAAGGGACTCTTGGATATTTGGACCCGGAGTATTTGTTAACGAGTGAGTTGACGGAGAAGAGCGATGTGTATAGCTTTGGAATTGTGCTTCTAGAGCTGATAACCGGGAAGAAGGCGGTGAGTTTCGAGGGGCCGGAAGCGGAGAGGAATTTAGCTATGTATGTTCTATGTGCAATGAAGGAAGATCGGTTGGGGGATGTTGTGGAGAAGGGAATAATGGCGAGGGAAAGGGAGTTTGAGCAGATAAAAGAAGTGGGGAAGGTGGCGAGGAAGTGCTTGAGAATAAGTGGGGAGGAGCGGCCGAGCATGAAGGAGGTGGCTATGGAGTTGGAGGGTTTGAGAGTGATGGTTGAACATCAATGGGTTAATGAAGAAAATATGGTGGCAGATGGAGCTTCGCATATGTTTGTGGTGAGTGGGAGTACAAATGTTGTGGATGATAGCATGAAAGTTCAGGTTTTGCCACTGATTCATGATGGAAGATGATGAATTGTTTGATGAACTCAAGATTGTTGGTTTATTCAAATTGCATATAGTTTGGATTTCAATTCCTAACTTCATTATGTACTAAATGTTTTGGAGTTTTCTATTAATGTTATTTGGTTGAATCTTCTTAAAAACAAGTAAAACTTGCTTGAGCTGCCCTTTAAAATACATTGAAAAAACGTTCAAACAAATAAAACAAACGAAATCTTACGGAAGTATCAACATAAATGGGCCAACAGTTCAATCACTATAACAGTCTAAGCTCACCGCTAACAGGTAGACATGAGGACGATGTGTCAACAAGGAGGCTATTCTCCGAAGGGGTTAAACATGAGGCGGTGTGCATGCTGGCCCAAAAGGGGTAGATTTGGTGGGGTTCCACATCGATAGGAGAAACGAACAAGTGCCCGCGAGGACGCTGGGCCTCGAAAGGGGTGGATTGTGAGAATCCCACATTGGTTGGGGAGGAGAACGAAACACCCTTTACAAGGGTATGGAAATCTTTCCTTATCAGACGCCAAGGGAAAGCCCAAAAGTCTTGAGGGAAAGTCTAGAAGAAAACCCAAAAAAGACAATATCTAAATCCCTATAAATTTTCTCTGTCCATATAAATTTTCTTATTTATTTTGGTAGGGATTTACAGTAGGAATTTCACCGATCTAGTTCCAGTAGAATTTTTTTTTCCAATTTTTCCATATTTTTTAAAATGTTATAATAAAATGAATAATATTTCATAAGAAACATAATAATATACAATCATGCAAATTGAAAAAAATGCAACCGGAGAAGATGACGGTGACGTGTCAACGCTCATATTTAGCCACATCAGCACCTTATCTACAACTTATCAAAAATGCAACCGTCGACGATGACGTGTCACAAATTTCAAAATCCTTGACAAATCAAAAAACATTTAGCCTCACCTTTTTTTAAAATAAAAAAATAAAATAAAAATGTTGGAAAGAAAGATGGATGTGTGTGGAGGGAGATCTGTGGCCTCAAATTTCGGGTTTGAATCACTGAGACCACATGAGTGAAAGGAAAGAAAGAAACTACGAACCCCATCTCTCTACATCAAAGAGATACCACAATGGTTGGTTCTCATTCTGAAAGATGAAGGCGAAGAAGAAGACCCCTATGCGTCTTCCATGGCCTTTCATTGCGCTCGTTACTCTTTTTCCCCTTCCCCAAGCAAACCCAAGTTCAAATTAGTGCTCGGAAACAAGCCTGCGGTTCTGTTTTCTTCCCTTCGATCCACTCGGGCTTCTTACAATACTCTCGTCTCTGAGGTAATCTTTCTTCTTCTTCTTCTTCTTCTTTTATTTGATTTTTGTTGATGTGGGTTGTTGCATTGCTGCATTTTTGTTCATCGGAGATCGATTCGGGTTTGGTGGGAGTTGTTCTTATCATTACACTTGAGGGCTCAGGCTTGTTTGCATTCTGTTGATGAATGTCGGGTTTGATCCAGATTGTATGTCTAACTTTGCTGAAGAAACTAATTGACAAAATTTGTGGGTTTCGTGTTGATTCTAAGTTCTGGCTTACATTCTTGTCTCATTGCCTTGAATTCCATGCGTTGCTGAATTTTCTGTATGCAACGTACTTTTTCTGTAAACAAGCTTAAGAAGTGAACTACAATGGTTGGGTTAGATCATGAGTTTATAAGTAAGAAACACTATCTCTATTGCTACGAGGTCTTTTGGGAAAATCAAGAGGAGTTTATGCTCAAAGTGGATAATATCGTACCATTGTGAAGGTTCATGATTTCTAACATGGTATCAAAGTCATGCATTTAACTTAACCATGTTAATAAAATCCTCAAATATCGAACAAAAAAGTTGTGAGCCTCAAAGGTGTAGTAAAAAGTGACTCGAGTGTTGAAAAAATGGTGCACTTTGTTCGATGGCTCCAAAGAAGGATTTAAGCCTCGATTTAGGGGAGTTTGTTAACAAATGGTGTACTTTGTTCGAGAGCTCTAGAGAAAGAGTCGAGCCTCGATTAAGGAGAGGCTGTTCAAGGGCTCCATAGACCTCCGGGGAGGTTGTATGGTGTACTTTGTTTGCGGGAAAAATTGTTGAGAATTGTTGGGAGAGAAGTCCCACATCAGCTAATTAAGGGGTTGATCATGAGTTTATAAGTAAAGAACACAATCTCAACAAAAGCAAGACCGTAAGAGCTTATGCTCAAAATGGACAATATTATACCATTGTGAAGGTCCGTGATTTCTAACATTTTGAACAGTAGACGCTGTGTTCCGTCAAAATTGTGTTACTCTGTCTTATGATGCTTTGATCTTTGGTAGGCTGTCAGGATATTGGTTCCTCCAGCAAGATTTGAAGCTTCAAAGTTAAAAGTTGAATTCACTAGGGAGGTGAACAAGTGTGCAGGAATCACCCCAAGAACGTATATTCTATCGCATTGCGACTTCACCGCTAATCTCACCTTAACCATCTCTGATGTTATCAACCTTGATCAGGTACGAACTTATTGCTACTTAATGTGTGTGACTGTGTGTGGAACAACACATTGTGTTTCTGTTCTTATATTTGGGTGTGTGAATGCATACAGTTGAGAGGTTGGTACAACAAGGATGATGTGGTTGCTGAGTGGAAGAAAGTAAAAGATGAAATGTGTCTTCATGTACATTGCTATGTGAGCGGTCCTAATTCTTTGCTTGATCTTACTGCTGAGTTTAGATACCACATTTTCTCCAAAGAATTGCCTCTTGTAAGTTTTTCTTTTCCCACATTCCATTATAACTCATGTCCAAATTTGTTGGAAAAATTATTCGATGCAGCCCAAAACTCTTAGTGTAAGCCCACCGTTAGTAGATATTGTCTTCTTTGGGCTTTTCCTTTTGGATTTTTCCTCAAGATTTTAAAACGCGTCTACTAAAGAGAGGGTCTTAACCCTACTCCAATCAGTGGCTCGCACCGTCTGACAATTGGCTCTGATACCATTTGTAACAGCCCAAGATTATCGCTATTAGATATTGTCCTTTTTGGGATTTTCTTTTCGGGCTTCTCCTCAAGGTTTTTAAATCCATCTACTATGTAGAGGGTCTAGCCCTACTCCGACCACAACCTTTATTGTGAGATCCCACATTGGTTGGAGAGGAGAACGAAGCATTTCTTATAAGGGTGTGAAAACCTCTCTCTAGTAGACACGTTTTAAAATCTCGAGGGAAAGCTCAAAGAAAACGATATTTACTTGGATTGTTACAAACACAGGTTTCAAAAACCAAAAACCTGAAACCAAACAAACTTTCCCTTGGCTGTTTGGAGAACTCTCAGGCCTAACCTATCATGATGGAAGTGCATATCATAGCAATGGTTAAGATTGGTATAAAGCTAAAATCACATGTTTTTGTAAAACCAGGTACTTGAATCTGTCTTATATGGAGATTCAATTCTATTTAGGGAGAATCCCGAGCTGCTAGATGCCTTAGTCAGGGTATATTTCCATTCCAGTTCACAAAAGTATAATCGACTCGAATGCTGGGGGCCACTCAAGGATGCTGTACAGGTAAACTTAAGATATTATGAAAATTTCATTGAATGCTTGATCTACAAACCTTGATGCCTTCTGTTTCAATCCTTTACTTTTGCCTGCATTTTTCAGGGGAGGCATCATCATATGCAAGGGCTCCTAAGGGCAAGCCAGGATGTGTCCTCTCCTAAAAAGTTGAGAACTCCCAAATCAATTTTTCAAGCTCTCTTTGCCTTCCTTCTCTGAACTTCATTGCATAAACTGGTAAACTGCTAATCTCCAAGAAGTAGCTATCTTTTAAGTTTTAACATCCATTTAATGTAATTCCTTTGTGGAAGGAGCAAAAGAGTACTCTTGGGTTGTTGAATGTATGGGAGAGGTAATTCTGTGGGTCAGTTTATTCTTTGGCCCAAAAAAAAAAAAAAGGCAGATTTGTTCCTGCAATTCTTGTGTAAATGACAATATACTTTTAAACCATTTAATCCATGAACTTTAGTATTCTTTTTTTTTTTTAAGTTCAATAGAAAGATTTGAACCTCTGGCGAGGGGAGGCGGAAAGGAGATCAGGGTGTATAATTGCTATGAAACAAAAGAGAGATACTAAATGAATATATCATATAATATATGCAGAGATCAGTGGCTTACTCTAACATCCATCAAAGCAAAATGGATGGCTTTGTCCATGAATATACAACAACCTCGTCACCTGCCTACGTTAAAACAACAATAAGAAAAACACCAAAACGTCAGTCTTTGCTAATCCAGTCTCACAATGGTCGGTTGGATTGCGACGATGAAGATAACTTAAACTGAGCAAACTTCACCAGATCTTTGAAAAGGGCTTCTTCATGCTCTGCAGATCTGGTTGGGGTGGAAGGACTGAGCGACGTGTTATCATGCGAAGAACCACGGGTATTGCTCAAATGGGGCAGAGTGCCTCCTCCTGTAACTGACTTTTGTTGCTCAAAATATTGTTGTCTTTGGTTATATCTCGAGGGTGGGGGAGGGAGGAGGCTTGGAGATTGAGTGTCCCGATGTGCTGTGGGAAGTGGATTCGTGGATATGCTTCTCAGAGGTGGTTCCTCAAACATAGGCTGTCTAGTGTTTAAAGGTAAGGGAGATGAAGTTTGAGGCGAGGGTGGGAAAATTGGAAGGGAATAAGATGGTGGCTCTACAATCTTTGGAGACAGTTGAGGTTTGTGTGCGTCACTGAGATGATCGATCATTTCTACACTAGTTGTCGACTTTGATGAGGGTGAAGAAACTGGACTAACTCGAGATGATTGACCGTTTGCCAGTTTGCTGTCCTTTTCAAAAGTGTAATCTTTGGTTGACCTGCAATTCATGTATAACAGTTGCAGTGAGATCTCAAAAGAATAGGTGGAGGTAACAGGGCTCAATTAGTCACCTGCGAGCTAACTGTGTAAAATCATCTTCCGAACCATCGTCCTCAGGGTTCATAAATGGAACCGATGGAATGGGAGGTTCTGTTCTTCTAGCTTCCATCATGAATGTTCCTTTTGCAATGTCGTCGTGGTCACTGAGTACACGCTGCAGATTGTCATTCAACACCAATCCTTGACATAACAGTTCCTCATCTCTAAAACATTAGCAAATAGAGGGCGTCAGAAATTAAGCATACAGAAAATACATGAGTATGGCACGATATCTTACGTGTTCTCATTCACAAGTATCATGACACGGCGTTGGTATGAACGGCATTGATCAACAAGATCTACAATCACTTCTTCCTTCAGAGCCTGCTAATATGACCATGTCAAAATCTCTAACAAAAATCAACATACTGTGTGCATTATATCTCATTTCACCGACTGAAACTCATTGAGCAGGCTCAATGCTATCTTGAACAGTCAAGAGAATGAGGGCCGCAAGTCCAAATAAGCAAAGTTCAAATTCTTTCTTTTTCAACACAGACTTTTCAAGAGGAATACCTCCGGAGTCTTAGGATCCAATGCGCCAAGCATTTCCCATAGAACATCTGCTAGTCCCTGTGCATTTTGAATTTCTGGCAAGCTGTTTCAGTTCAAATTATAATCAGAACCAAATCGGGAGAGGCAAAGTGCAAATAAAAGATAAAATACTAGACTTGAGCAAGAAGAATGAAGTACAGACATGTTGGATTGAAACTCATGACGAAGGCAAGCAAGTTACTAAGAACACTAAATAGCCCCTTGCTTTTTCAAAAAGAAAAGTAAAATTGTGAGATCCCATCGGTTGGGGAGGAGAACAAACCATTCTTTATAAGGGTGTAGAAACTTCTCCCTACCGGACACATTTTAAAAACCTTGAGGGGAAAGCCTAAAAAGGACAATATCTGCTAGCAGTGGGCTTGGGCCGTTACAAATGGTATAGAGATAGACACCGGGCGATATGGCAGCGAGAAGGCTGAGCCTCAAAGAGGGGTGGACATGAGGCGGTGTGCCAACAAGGACGCTGGGCCCAGAAGGGGAGATTGGTAAGGGCCCCACATCGATTGGAGAAGGAAACGAGTGCCAGCAAAGACGCTGGGTCTCGAAGGGGGTGAATTGTGAGATCCCACGTTTGGGGAGGAAAACGAAGCATTTTTTATAAGGGTGTGGAAACCTCTCCCTAGCAAACACGTTTTAAAAACCTTGAGGGGAAGCCCGAAAGGGAAAGCCCAAAAAGAAAAATATCCGATAGCGGTGGGCTTGGTCTGTTACAAAAATAGTCCAGACAGAATTAACACTATACCTTAAGCCAGAAGCATCGGACTGGAGAGAAGCCTGAGCAGCAAGATCATCATTAGCTGAAACAAGGTGCTCAATAACAGGTTGTATCTGAGGTGAACTAAAGAACTGCTCGACATTCTCCTCTCTCGGTGGAAATTGAAACCCGGCATTCTGTATTACAGAAAACAAATGAGAAATGGCTTAAAAAATTGTTTATCGAAGTAAGAAATGGCTTACCTTCAATTCATTGTAGGCTGCATAATACTGTGGACACTTCCCCTTGGAGTTGCCACCAAATGCTGCATGCCATGCATCTACCAGAGCTAATATTTTGTCCCGTACATTTAAATCAGGCTGCTTAGATTAAATGAAAGAACACGTTAAACTATTTGTCCAGTTCTGTCTAGATTTGTGGTATGCCAACAAACAACACAACAGATTCATGTCAAGGATAGCAGTACCTTCTTTTTCACAATTTTAAGCATTTCGTGCAGGATATTACGTTCCACGACCAGCTTACAAATGGTATCACTGCAATTTTTGCTTAGAGCCTCCAATGCCTGAATCAATAGAGTTTCAAAAAACGTATAACACGGTTAGAGTGTTGATGTTCGCGTTAACTTTTCTTCGGGAAATATCATACTAACAATTACCTTTTGGCATTTTGTTGTTACAAAAAATAACACAGCTCAACCCAGAAATCTAAGGACATTGTTGTTTAAGGTAAACATTGAACACAGACAAGAAAGACTAAGAGACTCACATGGAGAGCTAGAAGTTGTACTTTAGGATTCTTGCTAGTCAGTCGCTTCTTGAGTATCTTCAATGCATCCTTTGCTTGCCTATTAAGTTTCCATTCAAAACCAAAGTCAACATTTAAAAGCACAACAAATAATAGATATTTGGCTCAAAAGGGAACACAATAACTTGCTTTCATGTGGTTTCGAGTTCACTAAGGGAGGTGTAAACAAATCATAGATGTTCATTTCAAACAAACGTTAGAATTGATGGAAAATATCAAAAACTTTCACAAGATTTAATGGGAAGGAAGCAGCCAATACAGGGGATTAGAGACAGAAGTTTAGGAATCACCTAGGATCCATGTTGATGATATCACAGAGCTCAATGTTTATGGCCCAATCAGGAGCTCTAAGCCCATCATTTGTTGCTCTCTCAGCGCAAGCAGCAGCATTGGTAGACATGTCCCTCCGAATCTATTACACCCCAATGAGGCCTTCTGTTCTTGAATCTCCTGAGAAACACAATCCAGAAGGATATATGAAATTCATCTAGAAAAGTAACCTTAAGAAGTGAAATAAAGTAAGTGCTGCCGTGGAACAGAAGTCTATCAGAAATCATTGCCATCAATAACTCTCCCTTTATACCTTTAAAAAAGTAACAGCTCTGAAAAGGGACAAAGAAATGATCAATTGATCATGCAAATGAATCTAAACTAGGAGGATTAACACGAGGAGAATCATCAACGAAATTCCTCACAAATAAACAAGAACCCCATAAACGATATTTCCCGATGAAGAACGAAAAAAAGAAGATCATAATATAGAGCATAATTAGTCTCAGTAGGCGCTGAAAATGAAACCCCGTACGCTAATTTTACAGAAATCAAGAAACAGACCAAAAAGCAGAGAGAGTAAAGCAAAAGCAAAGTTACCCACAATCTAAAAAGTTCGCATCGATATGAAGAAAAGAAAGAGAGATGGGTCGGGGCTCAAACAAAGCATACCTGACTAGAATTTTCCTCTTGCTGGTTCGATTAGTAGCTTCAGAGCCTTCTCTTTTTCAGAGCTAACTTGGGATTTCACAGATTCCCAGAAATGAAGAAAAGAATGAACACAAATCAAAGTCGTCGTGACAGACGAGTTCCAATCTGCCAAATGGCGAGAAGGGAGAGCTAAAGAGAAGGGTTTAGTGACCTAAAATTGAAACCATGGGAGCATTATAGATATTATCGCCACGCATGGTGATTCACAAAGTCTTTTACCATTTCTCTTCTGGTTACTTCCTTTGGTATCTGAGTTTGACTTTGTCGAAGTTTCCGTGGGGAAGATTTCGGCAAAGGGCTGACGCGATTTCCACACTACAACCGCGTGTTTTCTTGCTGGAGATGGAGACTCTTCTGAGCAGAGCACCGGCCATGGGTCCCGCTCGGTTTGCGAGCCTGCGACACGTGGCGTAGTAGATCTTTTGACCGCTTCAACCCGAATGGAAAAGCGGATCGATGGGTCGGATCTGAAACGGTGTCGTTTTAAGACTTATAGGCCCATTTAGAATCCTTTTGAGTAGTAATACTCGGCCCAACCCATGTATTTGAATTTCAGTAATTAAATATCATTAAAAAAAAAAAAAAAAAATCCCTCAATTTACTTATTTGAACTAATCCGCGAGACGTGAATAAATTATATTATAAAATATGAGATGTTCTAGCACTGCTCCTTAAGAGACGCGTATTTACCAATTTTACCATAATGACTTATTTACGGGTCGAAATTTTATAATTTTAGATGGTTGAATTTATCTTATATTTATTTTGGTTTATAATTAAAAAAAATGTAATTTTACATTTACTCATGTTTCTTGATATAAGTAAAAATAATCATTAATGTTTGAGTAGATCTTTCGGATTTTTTTTATAAATAAAAAAAATATCTGAGTTGATTTTAATCAACAAATTGAAACCTACCAAATTATTTAAATCACCCATTTATGTTTATATTGACAAAAAAATATCGTAATAATGATTTTAAAGTGACATCGTAACAAAAAGAAATTCAAATTTAAAATTTTCAAATATATCATTTCCTCTAAAGTCCACAAATGAAGCCAAGAGCTTCAATTTCCGGACGTTGTGATGATTGAACAGTTTTTGGCGGGCCATCTTCAATAATTCAACCTTTTTTTTTTTTTTTAACAAAATTACGTTATAAATACCCAAAAATAAATTGGTAACAGAAAATATAAATTGAAAATGAGAAAATTATTATCTGGAATCTATATTTGTTCTTGAAACTAATAAGTATAACCAAGAGATATAAAACATGGAAATTAAAGTAGAAAACGAAGGGATGATTTTTATAGAAATAAAACAAAAGGTTATTACATATTAAGATTGATTTGATTTGATTTGATTTGAATTCTCCGATGAAGCTGTTTGTTTTACTCTGGATTTTTGCTTCTGATTGGACTGATACAAAACCAGCAACTCCCTTTTGATTCAGAGTTCCTGTAAATCAAATAAAAGTCAAGATTTCATGAATTATTACCATGAATTTCAGCAAGTTCATGGATCATATGAAGCCAAATTCAAGTAAATTAACGAATCCCAGTTTTTCAGAGTGTTTCCAAGATTCCAACCACCGAATAATTGATGAAATTATGGTTATTCTGGGTTTACCTGCTGTTGCTTCTTTCGCTGCTTGTGCTATTACTATTGCTACTACTACTGCCGGAGACACTGCCGCCATTCTCGCCGGAGGTTGCTGACGATCTCTTCCTCCACCAGTCTCTGTCCACTTGCGGTGGCTTAGGAGATACTCTCGAACTTCCATTCAACGCCGAGTCGCTTCTAACATTACTCTTCTTTTTCGTTGAAATTTTCCCTAACGGCATCGGGAAGAACATTTTGAGATAAAATCCACCGCTATTGACGCTTCTACTTCTGGTAACGAGTGCTCTGGTTTCACTCCTCTTCTTGATAGGATCTCTTATGAAGGAAGTTTCAGAGGCGGAATCATATTTCTCGATGGAGGCGCTCTCTTGTTGCCGCAAGTGATGTTCGACGAGATCTTTGAGAGAAAGCTCGTAGGAGGATTCCGGCATGTTCCTGACCATCTCCATGAGCTCCTGCTGTCCTCTGGCGATGGCTTGAGTGCGGGAAGTCGGGGAAAGAGTGCGATTACGCGAGCGATGAAATTGGGGGTTCATCCGAGAATCTGAACCCCAGAGCGTGGGTGAACAGACTCCAGATTCCGATTGCGAGTCGTCATCGTCGACGGCACTGTCCAAGCCTCTGAAAATTATGCAATCTTCGGCGGTATGGATCGGATTCCTTGGGAATTTCATCGTAAGATCTCCCATGGCGGTTGCTCCGGGGAATCTTGGATGGAAGGAATTGGAGAGGAAGCAGTTGAAATGAAATGATTTGTTTATGGTGCGTCTGAAGCGAGAGAGACGAGGGGTGGGTATAGGCTATAGGGGAGAGGTGAGGGGGAGATAATTGTAATTTTGCCGTAGCGCGTCCATTTCACGGTAACTCGATTTAGTTACCGTCGGTTAAGTTGGTAAATATCCCATCCTTGGGCTTCTTCTTAATTACCTTTTGGAATTTATTAATTACCATTCTAATGTAAATTATAAACTTTTGACAAAATATTATATTTATTCGTATTAAGCTAGAAAAAGACATTAAAACTAATATTAATTGTGGAAATAAAAAAGAGAGTGGTCAACGTCCAAGTCGTTGTAAGTTGTGTAATTGATTCCGATTCTAAATTCCAAAGCTCGATTCTTAGCCATTTGTAAAATTTGTATATTCTTAGCCCATTCAAATATTTAATGCGTCCAAAATTTTAGCTGCCTTTTGAGCAACTTCCAACTTTAATGCCGGACAAATTTAGTCTCATTATTCAATTTTCTTATTATTAATAATTTTATAATATAGTTTTGATGATTACATTTGTTAGGTCGATGAATCATATAAAGTTGATTCACTTATGTTTATATATATATATATAAATTTAAATTTAAATTAAGCTGATTTTTGTTTTTGTTAATGGGTCGCTAAATATATGGTTTTTTAAGTCATAATTAGGCAATTAATATGAATATAATGTATTAAAAATAAAGCAAAAATTCGATAGGAAAAATTTAAATATATTTAAAATATATGTTAGGTAGAGAAAAAAAAAAGGGGGCAAACTAAGATTTTAATATATAAGAAAGAAAGATTTTGGAAAATAAAATTTTAAATCATAATATATATATATTTATGTTGAGTGGACAATAACAAATTATTTTTAAAATTTTAGAAACTTAGCTTCAATAAAAGTCTTTTTTTTTTTTTTAATTTACTATTTATCCACATATTTAAGGTTTTGATTGAACGAGACAAAAAATATCGTTTTGGACTTCCATCCAAAACGTTATCTCTTACAATAAACATTACAATCAAATTTAGTGGTAAAAGGAAAGATGTCTTGGAACAATCTTATGAGAACTTGTCGCAATCGTGGTGAAAAAAGGAAAGAAAAAATAGAAAACTATTTATCTTTGCTAACTAAATAAGGTAAAAAAACGAATATTAAATTTATTTTTTGTCCCGTCTCTTATTTACTTTACCCTTTTATTTGTTTTTTATCCTAGTGTAATATGAAATTTTAAATTTTTAAGAATATAACATGATATTATGTTTTTTTATATAAAATATTATTAAATTTATTAAAATATTTACCATTATATTAGAAAATAAAAAGTATATATTATTTTTACTTTTTGTTTATAAAAATTGACATATCTAGTAATAAAATGCATTTTATGTCACATACCCAAGTTTTTAAATATCTTAATAAAATTCCTATTAATAAATTTATTTATTTTTTCTTGCGAAAAGAATTGATTGAGAGTTTTTAATATATTAAGGATAACTTGAGAATGTGGCAAGAATTGGACTTAAAAAGATTAATAAGAATTATATATATATATATATATATATATACACATGTGATAGGTACAGTCATTTATCAGGCTTATAAAAGAATATATTATATTTTTCATTTAATAAATTCATGCTGTCACGTTATTTCTTATAGCAATATTTCGATAGTAGACTTTATATGGAAAAGAAAAAAAAATGTACTTCTAGAAGTATTCGTGTAACATAGAAGGGAGAAAATTATATTATATTGTTTCTAGAATCCCAAAATTCGTGATTATATGCTTTAAATTTAAATTATTAATTCGTGACAAAAGAAGTTAAATTATTAACCGACCCTTGCAAAAAAAAGAAATGACGTTATATTAAATTGTTTTTTAGTTTAATCTTATTATTTTTATAATATATATATATATATATATATTGTGTAACATGGATTGAAATTACCTAAAATAAATGAAAAATAGACTAAAGTGGAAAAAAACTAAATTTGATAATAATTAAAAAGGCATATAATTTAGAATAGAGACATATGCGAAGTGACCTTCCATACCCTTATAAGAAAGACTTCGTTGTCCTCTCTAACCCATGTGAGATCTCACAATCTACATCCTTGGAGGCCCAACGTCCTCGCTGGCACCGCGTCTGGTGACTGGCTCTGATATCATTTGTAATAGTCCAGGCTCACCACTACTCGATATTGTTGGCTTTGGGCTTTCCCTTTCGAGCTTCCTTTAAGGTTTTTAAAACGCTTATGCTAGGGGGAGATTCCACACCCTTATAAAGAATATTTCGTTCCTCTCTCCAACCGATGTGGGATCTCACAATCCATTCCCCTAGAGACCCAGCGTCTTCGCTGACACTCGTTCTTCTCTCTAATCGATGTGATTTGAATGAGAACAGTCCTGAATATAAGATGAGTAAGAAAAACGGCAAGAAAATGAAAGTTATTATCTATACCAACAAGGTGCATTTTTTTTCCGGTAACTCAATCATATGAACTTTATGGTTAAACGTGCTTTATGAGTGAGAATAAAATATACTTAAATAACTTGTACTGATTATTGGTATATATATATATCTAAAAAGCAAAATTCGAGCCCAGATCGTAGATTGATTTATGCGATGGTATTGTAGTTCCACAAAACTCGGGTCTAGGCTTTTCTCGTTGAACGAAGGGTTGCATTTGGGGGGAAATTGGTTTCTTTCATTCAAATTGATATAAATCTCACTTCAAATCATGATGGAAGAAGAAGAAGAAGCAGCAGCAACTGAACCAGCACCAACCAAGACACACCTGATACTACTATTGCTCGAATCCAAGTTCCGTTCTTCATAGCGGCAACCGTACTTATATGCACTTCCTGCTAAAGAATCTTCGTGGTGCGCACAGAGCTTCGTTTTCTCATTACTCCTATCTGATTGACCAGTGTTTAGCGTCTAGATCTGTTCATATTGCGAAAACAATCCACGCTCAATTGCTAAAGCTTGGCCTCAACAACAATACTTTTCTGGGTAATCGCTGTCTTCAGCTATACGTGTTATTTGGTCCCGTCCATGATTTTTTTAGAGTATTTGGTGATATCAAAGAGAAGAATATTGTATCTTGGAACATATGCTTGAAGGGGTTGTTTAGATTTGGTTATGTCAATGGTGCACGCAATCTGTTCGATGAAATGCCTGAGAGGGACATTGTTTCTTGGAATTGCATGATGTCTGGCTGCGTTTCTTCTGGGTTTGCTAATAAGGCTATGGATGTGTTTCTGGAGATGCAAGATGCTGGTTTTAGACCAAGTGAATATACGTTTTCAATTTTGCTTTCGGTTATGTCGTGTCCTAGTCATGGCAAGCAAATTCATGGCAGTATGATTCGAAGTGGTGTTGATGTGTCAAATGTGGTTCTTGGGAATTCATTGATTGATATGTATGGAAAATTTGGCCTTGTTGATTATATGTTTGTCATGTTTTATAGTATGGAAAAGGTGGATGTTATCTCTTGGAACTCTTTGATTTTGGGCTGCCACAGATCAGGCTTTAGCGTATTGGCACTAAATCAGTTCTTTCTTATGAGAGCCACTGGGCACTCTCCTGATCAGTTCACTGTATCAATAATGATAAGTTTATGTTCTTTCCTCCAAGAATTGGAACTGGGTAAGCAATTTCTTGCTTTCTGTTTCAAGATGGGATTTACTTCTAACAGCATTATACTTAGTGCTGCTATTGACTTGTTTTCCAAATGCAACAGCTTGAGGGATGCAATGCAGCTTTTTGAAGAAGCCAATCAATGGGATCAAGCTCTTTGTGATGCCATGATCTCAAGCTTGGCATGGCATGGTCATTGGAGGGATTCCATGTGGCTTTTTGTGTATGCCTTAAGGGAGAACCTCAGGCCAACAGGGATTACACTCAGCAGTGTCCTGAGCTCCATTTCAGTCTTCACACCTCTGGACTTAGGTAGTCAAATTCATAATTTGGTTCTTAAGTTGGGTTTTGAGTCTGATACCGTCGTCACTAGTTCGCTCGTCGAAATGTATGCTAAAGTTGGGTTAATTGATAACGCCATGAAAGTCTTCACGGATATGCCTTCGAGAGATTTAATATCTTGGAACACTATGATTATGGGTCTGGTTAACAATGGTAAATACTTTGAGGCCTTAGGCACACTTGAAAATTTGGTTAGGGAAGGTGTAGTGGCAGATAGGATAACACTAGCTGGAGTCTTATTAGCTTGCAGCCATGCTGGTTTTGTTGATGAGGGGCTAAACATCTTCTCTACAATGGAAAACAAACACGGGGTCGTACCGACGAATGAGCATTATACTTGTGTGGTGGACTTACTGAGTCGGGCTGGTAAATTCAAAGAAGCAGTTAATATCATCGAAACAACATCGTGCCAACCTACTTCTACGTTTTGGATATCACTACTAGATGCCTGTGCTATTCATGGAGACATGAACACCATTGAAAGAGTTGCGGAGAGGGTGATGAAGCTGGAACCTCAATCATCCTTACCGTATTCGGTGCTGGCTCGAGTATATGCAGCGAGAGGCCGATGGGAAAGCACTGTTCGTGTCAGTAAGGCCATGGAGAATATAGCTGCACAGAAGGTGAAGGCTTGCAGCTGGGTTGTGATCAAAGATCATGTGTATGCTTTCCAGGATGACCGGTTGCAGCATCTGGGGGGAGAAAGTTTCATTTCTGCGTTGGAGCTGATTGTTTGGGAGGTGGAATATGGGAATGAACACGAACAGTATGTTTAACGAACGATTCATTGGAAATGGTTTGTGATATTGATGATCTGAATTATAAACATAGAAATGATAGAGCCTAGAGGATTTGTTTATCTCAATGTTACAAATTTGGTTAGCTGTCTAAGATGTGTAAATGTATGTCTCCATATCTAAAGTTTACCTTTTAAATACAATTTCATCATTTATGTTAAAAAATAAACTATTTCCATGGAAGAGAAGCAAATAAACGATTTTCATAAAAATTTTCAATACCTTTCGTTCATTTCTCCAACCGATGGGATCTCATGATCCACCTCTTTGGGGACCAGCGTTTTAGCTGGCACATCGTTTGGTGTCTGGCTCTGATATCATATGTAACAGCCCAAGCCCACTACTAGCAGATATTGTCCGCTTTGGCCCGTTACGTATCGTCGTCAGCCTCACAGTTTTAAAATGCGTCGTCAACCTCACAATTATAAGAGGTTTCTACACTCTTATAAAAAAAATGTTTGGTTCTCCCTCTCATACCGACATGGGATCTCACAATCCATTGGGCTCAACGTCCTCGCTAGCACACCGCCCCGTGTTTGACTTTGATACAATTTCCTGATTTGCGTATGTCATCTTTGCACGGGGTCATGCTAATCATTTCTCTATCGTTCCAATTTTTATCGTGTCCTCGAAGAACATACAAACCCATTTACTTGAATCTACTCTAAAAAAAATTGATAATTACAAAGATTATTTGGCTATACGCCTATTCTTAACACAATATCATTAAAATTTGTGTTAACATAATGTAATAATTCAGATAAAAAACCCAATAAACAAATCATAAAAATTCAGATTAAGGAATCAAAGTTTATTCCCAGCGAAGAAACAGAAAAATAATTTAAAAATCATTCCTGCAAATAAGCGAAGAAGAAGGAATGAACAGCGATTGGCGAAAGCGACGGACTACGGAGGCGGGTTAAATAATGAGCGAAGAAACATAGAAGAATTTGGAAGTTTTAGAAGCGTCTGAATGGCCTCTAGCATCCAGCTCAATTCAATTTCTGAAATTCCTCGCGATCTTCTCTTTGGACGCCGACAATTTCACGAATATCCTCAAGCATATCTTCCTACAATTTCACGAATTATTATGTTAATCGCCTCCAGTACCAGTATGAGAACGAAAGCCCCAAGTTATCAACAATTTTTGATGCTTCTGATCATTGGGCAGAAATCCCCGTCATACTACAGATCTGTCCTTCACTACGGCAGCAGTTTTGATCTCAAATCCCTCTCTCTTTCTCACGGATATAAGGAACGAACCAGGGGTTTCCATTGCAACCTAGTTCTCCTTCTTATCGATTTTCTCGAATCGCGTATATGGAGATCTCTCCTACTTCGTCTCGTATTATCATTGCTTATGATGCTACCAAGGATCGCACTGAACATGAGCTTCAGATGACGCTTAGGAACTTGTGGATGCGAGGCGACATTCTTCGCGGAGGCGATACGCTCATTGTGCTTGGAATCCTTCATAGAGTGCCTCATCCGAGTAAGTTTCTTCATCTGGATTTGAAGTAGTTATTGTTTCTTCTTAGCTTTGTTCTGATCTTTACTGCATTTGTGTGCGATTGATTGCGACAGTGGGATACCAATTGATAGCCTGCTCTGAATCGTTCGCTGGAACCAGCCTTCGAGCAATGGAGGATGAGGTTTCCAAGAAAGCTGATGCGTACATCGCCATGCTTCAGCAAAGTGCAGACATGTGTGAAGAAGGAGGGGTAATGCTTTGCTCTAACTCCTCATCATCCTCCATTTTTTTATCAAGAATTACATGTTTCTTGAGTCTCAAGTTTTAAACTAATAGTTACCTTACGTTACAAGTTTTGTCTAAAAGTTGCTAATACTGATTTAACTGATAAAACACAATAATTAAAAACAATCTGATATACCTTTAACTTTTAATTTAAATTAATTAACAATTAATTAATTATTAATATAGAAGTTTTAATAAATTTGAAATATTCTGTAGATTATTAAATTTTAATTATTACCTTAAGGGTTTAATATTAATATTTATTTATTATTACTTTATTACATGATTTGTTTTCAACTGATTAATAACATATTTAGTGTAATAATATATTAAATAATATTACTTTTGATTATTGTTCTTGAGATCATTAATTTTTATTAATGATTGAAATGAAATAATTTAAAGCATTAATATATTCAATTATAGGGATAAATGTTAATGAACCAAGCTGGTAAAATAAACACAAATATTTAATTCCCATACATAGGGACAAGAATTAAAATACAGCTACTTAACAATTATACCCACCACCAAGTAATTCTCAACCCAAATGGGCCAAAAACGGTCAAATGAAGAAAAAAAAATTATTTATTAATTTCTAATTTTCTTATTAGCTTTTCCTCATCGGATCTTTTTTTCTTTCAATTATTTATTTATTTCATGGATAATTGTATCATAAGTACGCAAGTTCTTACCGGTTTTACCATAGGAAAAATGGTTTCACTGTGATACCAAAATTCATAGAAACTCTCGTATCAATATAAACGTAATTGAGTAGTTGAGACATCTATTATGAGCAGTTGAGACATCTATTATAAACGTAACTGAGTAGTTCATATATCTATTATGAACGTAATTAAGTAGTTTAGACATCTATTATGAATGTAACTGAGTAGTTCAGACATCTATTATGAACGTAATGAAGTAGTTCAAACATCTATTATGAACGTAACTGAGTAGTTGAGACATCTATTCTTTTCTAGTCCTAACATTGGTCGGACTCTATCTACGATCAACAAGTTCAGATACATTAAGTAAAAGAATTGCTAAGCACAAAAAAGAAACAAGGAGAAAAGCTCTAAGAGAAATGCAAAGAACTGCTGTTGAGTTGCTTCAACATTTGGTTTTCTTAACATAGACTAAACTGTAGCATTTTTTAGTAGCACGAGTGTGTGCAGTTCTTAGGTAGATTGTATATACCCATTCCTATTGATTGATGGTGTATTAATATACAGGTCAGTATTGAAGTTAGAATTACAGCTGGTTTCCCCATTAAGAATGTTATTCTCCAAGAAATTATGGTCTTCAGCGCGAGCTGGGTTATACTTGACAGGTTTGGCAGTTTATCTGTTTTCATATTTAGATAGCGTTCTGTTTTATAAATGATGTCCATTTCTACTACATGTTTTCTTATTTATTAACTCCATTGCTTCTACACCCATGATAGTTTTATCTTTTTTAGTTTCTTTGAAAGATGTGATCAAACCGGCTTAATAGTCATGCTATGTTTTTTATTATCATTTTTTTCTTGAGATACTCTTTGTTCATATGATATGTGAAATTGATGTCCATTACATCCATAAACTTTATAAATTTATATGAAACATCTTGGAAAAATAAAAGAAGATCTTCTGAGAAAGTATTCTTTATCATTTCCTCGAGTGCCTTCTTCAAGTTTCTGAATTTCTGTTTCGGTTTGTATGGTAATTAATGACTTGAAAACTTTAACAGGCATCTTCGACGGGATGAGAGCTTTTACCTTAGACATTTATCTTGCAAGGTTGCTGTAATCCAAGATAACTTGTCTGTGAGAGTTTTGAGAAATAAGGCTACAACTGGGGCAGATAAATTAGAACATAAATTACGGGATAGTGAGCAGACTGTTATCTCCATCAAAAGCTTCTCATTCCAAAGTAGTTCTCTGGATAGCTCATCTGCACAGAGCAACTGGACCAGTTCATCTAGTAGCATGTCTAGGGAGCATGCATCGGATCCTGAGTCATCTTCTCGGCAAGAAAAAATAGGTAAGTTTCTTATATCATCCTCAGATTTTGGTCTTGGGAGTTCACGATTCACTTCCTCGGCATGGAAATTAAAGCCAAAAATGGATGAACTTGATGTTAGTTGCATGAATAGAGTGGTTTTCTAGTCTCTATCGAACCTACGGCATTCTCTTTGTCATTGGTTGAACTTGCTGGATTCGGCAATGCCAATTCGTGAAGCCTATGAAAACAAAATTGTTTCAAAAAAATATTCCTTGATCTTGTTTCCTAATATCTAAATTTCAGGTCCTTGGTTACAATAAAAAAATTGATATTGTCTTATAGGTACAGATTCCAGAGAACAGAATATTTATGCAACTGCTTCTCAGATTGTTATACTTCCAACTAAGGACGTCTTTCAACAGAAATCTTTAGAAGCACCAATTCTATGTTCTGTTTGTGGAACGAGGTCGGAGTTATATTTGAAGGATACAATGAGATTTAGTTATTCTGACATACAGCTAGCAACTGCCGATTTCTCAGCAGGAAACTTGTTAGGAGAGGGTGGTTATGGTCATGTTTTTAAGGGTGAACTAAAAAATGGACAACTCATTGCTGCAAAAGTGCGAAAAGAAGAAAGTACACAAGGATTTGTAGAGTTTCATTCTGAGATACAAGTTTTGAGTTTTGCTCGTCACAAGAACATAGTGATGCTGTTGGGGTTTAGTTGCAAGGAAAACATAAACGTTCTGGTGTACGAATATATTTGCAACAGGTCTCTTGATTTTCACTTATTTGGTGAGTAGCTTGAATCTCACTGATCCAACTCATCTTCTTTTGATCTTTGCTTAGCTTCTTTTCAATGGGATTGACTCTAGTCCACATTCTGTTTATCCCTTCAATAACCGTTTTTTCGGTAATTAAATAGGTAAGAAAACAACTGTTCTTGAACTACATCAAAGATATGGCATTGCCGTTGGGATTGCCAAGGGACTGCGTTTTCTGCATGAAGAATGTCGTGGAGGTCCTGTAATACATAGAGATGTCCGTCCGAGCAACATATTGCTCACACATGATTATGTTCCTATGGTAAATAATTATTCTCATTTTTTTTGTCTTACCATATTGGCCTTTCAAGACTCGGCCATCAAACCATAGATGTTAAATTATTCCAGCTTCCTAGAAAGAATGTGGTGTAGTTTTGCTCATCAGGCTCGTATTCTACTTTGTTCACCTTGCAATGTAGTCCCTTTGTCTTTGACATTCTTTTAGATAGAACTTCGGTGATAGCATTTTCTTTTTGTATGTTGAGATAGAAACCTAGTCATCCAATGAAATTGAAATTCCTAGTCAGACAAAGTTCACTTTTCCTGATGTCTTTGGGCAAGAAACAAACAGTTCAAGGTTAAACAGTTAAAACCTTAATTTCAGAGAAATAGCATCAAGCACTATAGCTGCACCCCTTGCAAGACATGGGAGGGGAGGGATTTTTTGTGGAGATCATTGCAGTTAAACTGAACAGCATTTTTTCTTTCTTTTTGTTGTCAACTCAGTTAGGTGATTTTGGTTTGGCCAAATGGAAGACAAAAGATGATACTTCGCATTCAAGCATACTCGGCACATTTGGGTCGGCACTTATGTTCAATAGTTGACCTTTTCATTTTATTTCTGGTGTTGCTAATTATTTATTTGTAATATGTAGATATGTTGCACCGGAATATGCAGAAAATGGTATTCTTTCAGTAAGAACGGATGTATATGCATTTGGAATTGTGTTGCTACAATTAATATCTGGACGCAAGGTGTTCGACGCGATGGATGATATACAAGGACGATCTCTGCGAGAGTGGGTGAGTAATCTGTTTTAAGGATTTGTCAGTTGTTAATTTTTATGTTACATCAAGGAGGTTATAATGGGATATTAACATAGTCTCACATTGGGGAGAGAGGGAGAAGACCCTTTGTATTTGTAAGGATAATTTCTATATTAGTATATAGGACATTTTGTGTGGAACAAAAAGTAGAAGCTTGTTGCTCCAACCATTATAAATATTATTAGGGGCATAAGATTATGGTCATGAATGACAATGTTCTACACGTCTTAAAACCTTCATCAACTCACTCTTCCTCTTGATTTTCAGGCTGAACCATTAATTGAAAACTTAGCATTACATGAACTGATTGATTCTCGAGTTGCAAATACATATGACACGTATGAATTATACCTCATGGCCCGAACTGCATACTTATGCGTGCGGATAAACCCCGAGAATCGTCCATCAATGGGAGAGGTAATTTGTCTTTCATGGTATCTTAAGCTTATCTTAATAACTTCAGTCAACATTATTGTTTAATAAATCCTTGATGTTGCCTCTCATCATTCTGGTGGTGTTCATAATTGTCTTCTATTGTTTTACGTGTTAACCACATTGCTCGCTGATATTTTACCAGGTTGTGCGCCTTCTTGAAGGAGAAAATGATCATTTTCACTATCTGGGGGAGAAGCTAATACCTCGTTATAACAGATAAATGAACAACTACTGGTTTTTTGTTTTTAGCATTTCACTTCTCACATGCTTTTTCTTGTATTATAACTAGTTTTGTTGCTTTAGAAGGAAGATTGTAGCTGGGAAAACATGCGTTTTTATACAGTTGCAGTCTTTATGGTTTTTCATTCCTTTCTATCCATTAATTTCAGAGGACTTTACACATTCTAGTTTACTTAGTTACCATGAATACAATCACCAAATTTTATTTATAGAAAGAAATAAAAAGATGAATAAGAACAAAACAAAAAATAAAATAGAAAAACAATCCAAAAAAACATATCTTAAGAAATTGATTAACAAAGCTACTAAGACTAACCTATAATAATCTATAAATCAAGATGGCAATTTACGTGTAAAAGATATTAATGAATCTAAAATATTTTGCATAAAAAAACTTAATCTAATTGTGGTTCGCCTGAGATCTTGATTTGCAGCTCTTGTTCTCGTTAGACTGACCAAGCTTGGTGAGCAGAGGAGATCTGTGTTGTGATCACTTGAAGATAATGCTTTGAAGAACAATTCTGCATTGCAAGTAGTTTTGGCATTTGAGAGGACGGCTTCTCTCATTTTTCTAGGTTTTACTCTTTTTAACTTAACAGTTCTTGTAACTGATACCCATTTGCTTAGCTTAGCAGACTTTCGATTTGTCTGTATCAATATGATTGTATTATTTATTCATAAGGTACAATAGACTGTTCTAGTTGTTTATAGACGATGATAGGAATGCATAGCAAATTTGTCCCCAAAGAAAAAATCCCTGGCTTGTCATGAGCTCTTCCCTCAGTTGGAATAGCTAGTTTTCCTTTTACATCAAGTTGGATTCTATTATTTCAGCTCTTGTTATAATTTGATTGCACACTTCACTTTTAAGTTTCCAGTAATGTGGCTAATCTATGAGGCTGCTCATTTACCTGTTAAAGATGGAAACAGAACACCATGGACTATTTCATTCTCTCTTGGTTTTTGAGTATCAACCTGCTGTATAATAGCATGTCTACATGCTGAACATTTTACCAGTGAGGCCGCCTATGGCCTTTCTTCTTATTACATCCTTCAGTGCAATTGTTTGTGCTTCAACTTTATAATCTGTTTTCTGTCTCGTGTAGAATGTTGATTGGTTCGACACTTCTCTGTTTTTATTGCTTCTGGCTTCTTTGCCTCCAATTTTATCACACCTGTCTTTTAGGAATCACGACTCTCCATAATAATATGATGTTGTTCACTTTGAGTTGGTCTCGTACCAATGGAGATGTATTCCTTACTTATAAATCCATGATCATTCCCTTAATTATCCAACGTGGGACTCTCTTCCAACAAAGGATCTGTTCTGTTTCATGTAATCTGTGTTTGTTCATTCAAGAATTACTGTAATACTATATTGAAGGATTTTGTAGAACTCATTGATGTTTCCTTCAAAAAGTACAGAAAATGCATATTCATTTTGCTCATCTTTTTCGTCAAATGCACTTGCAACCTGAGTTTTCTTATCATTCTTTCTGTTTGTTGCTGCCAATTTCAGGATCCAAAATGATGAGTTGAGGTGAAAAAACAAAATCAAATCAACCTGCAGATCGTAACTTCAGCAAATCCAACCTTTACAGGTAAACAGAATGGTTTATATTTTGGAAGAAAGGAGAGTAGCATGAAAATGGTTGATATTCTGATTATGAGTAATGGATTTGCGTGTGAAATTGAAGCATCTCTGATTAGGAAGTCTTATCTAAATAACAAACAAACTTCAGGTAGGTGACTAGTCCAGTCAGATCTTTGAGGCATAATGATTTGCGTGTCTCCCCTAATTATACGATCACATATATTTTTTTATTGAATTGAATTTACTGTTGCCTTAGACCTTAGAGACCTAAAAGCCATAACCTACTCAATAATTTTCTACAAAAAACATAGCCAAAAGAGAGATAGAAAGAAACAAACCCAAATAATTTCAAAACATCAATCATGGAACCTGAGATGGAAATAAGATAATGAACAGAGACTAAAATGAGTGCAGAATTCAATCATTCATGAAGATACAGACAATATCAAAAGAAATATGTGTTAGGACGGCATAAAAAGAACCGGAAGAGAAAATGTAAGAAGTAATATTGACTAGAGAGAAAATACAAAGAGGAATATTGACAGAAAATGGAGTCTAAAGAGAAAAAATGCAAGAATATTAGCTAGTGGTTTATATGGATGACTCAGATCATGAACAGTAAGTATAGACAATGTAGAAAATACATTTTCAAAAGTAGCCAGATATAATATATATATATATATATCGGTTTACTATATATAACATTACTAGATATAGTCTTTGATTATAGTTGTTTTTATTATATATGTTTTTTTACCATGATTATACATAATCATGAGTAAGCTAAGCAGCAAACTCCTAACAATAGGTTATGTGTTAGAGAAGGATATGATGGGATGTCCTCCTAATCCAAAATGAAGTTGATGTCTAAAAGCATCAATTGAATGAAATGAAAGGCTGAAATAGAAAGATGCCTGAGATTCCCACCTCAGTAATCTAAATATTTTGCCCAATTTGGAATTTTCATAGGACGATAAAGCTTACAACACCACGACATTTAAGTAGGCATCTCTTTACCTATGATAGAATGGTTCTGCTTTTTAAGCATCAACAGGTTTAAATGTCTTTTACTATTTCATTGTTGACAATGAATGTCCTCTACTATTTCATTGGTGATAATGATAACTACAAAATAATTAATATAAGAAACTCGAACAACTATATAGTTCTCCTAAAATTTGGTTAACTTTCCTACCAAACACTAATAGCAATGGAACATTTTTTTTTTTTTTTTTTTATGTATATAGAACATATACCCAAAAGTGAAAATGATAGCTATGAAATATTATTTTACTTCTTTAGCCATTTTGAGGTTTCAAAATGTATGTTTACCATTGACAAAGGCTCGGAAGGCCATGTTCACTATTTGAGGTTTCAAAATGTATGTTTACCATTGACAAAGGCTCGGAAGGCCATGTTCACTATTTGAGGTTTCAAAATGTATGTTTACCATTGACAAAGGCTCGGAAGGCCATGTTCACTAAGAGGTCCCAAGTCTGAACTTTTGGTGAGCTTAATATCGAAAATTCTTCATGTTTCTAGTCCTTTTCTTTTTGTGTTTTTTAATGGGTCGTGACAATATTGCAATTCCGTAAGAATATATATATATATATATATATATATTATATTTTTAAATTTAACATTAATAATTATATATAAATAGTTAATTCTTTTAAATTTTATTTTCTTGCTCAAAGTTTTTATCATAATCCTGTTTGGCCTTTCAAAATTAAGAAACTATTTTCATAGTGATTATCAATTATTATATTTTTTAAAAATAAAAAAATTAAATATCTGATTTGATATTTAACTAACCACCATTTAAAAAAAGAAAAAAAAGAAAAAAAAAACATGTTCAATTAAAAATAAAATATTGAGAATGGGTCTCGAAACAGACTATTGATGCTTTAGATTAGTCATTTTATTCGATTGTGTAAAGAAAAAGTTTGGATTTATAAAATATGATAATAATATTATATTACATATTTATCTCCTTTTATCAAGGGTATTTTGGTAATGATCCATGTTTTTTTTAAAAAAAGTTGAAAAATAAAATTAATATAAAATCCTTTTATAGGATCACGTTTTATTTAAACCACACAATTAAAAAAAAAAAAAAGGAACAGTAATTTTGTTGCTTCTGGTTTTTGTCTTTGAAATTTATAAATTAAATGTTTATTTATAGTTATTGATTTTATTTAAAAAAAATGTTCACCGGTCTTAGTTCTTAAGGAATTTTGGAATAATATTCTTTTTTATTATTATTATTATTAAAGGGAAAAAGGTATTTTAGAAAAATAGAAAAAGAATTGCTTTCGGCTGCGGCTGCGGCTGCGGCTTCTGTTTTAAGCGCGCAGAATCATCTCCACAAGCCGCAGACTTTGTTTCCCGAATATATAAATAAAATTATATATTTTTATTAAATTATATAAAATAAAATAAAATTGGATTTTTAGTGTTTTTTTAGTTCAATTATGGACCCTTTTATAGTCCCTACACAAAAAGAAGTGGGCCCGGCTCAAAAATCCAAAATCCATTTCCACACGCACGTATCATGCTTTCCACGTGGCGCAATTTGCACTGCTCGTTGTTGCCACCGGGCGTGATTTTTCTCCCTTCATCTTCCCTCTCCCTCTTCCAAGCCCCAACACTTCTGTCTCTTTCTCTCTCCCGTTCGTGTCTTTTATAGGCAACCTTTGGTTTGGACGAATTTCGTTTATTCATAAGGCAAGCGGTCTGAGGTACTACTAGCTTGTAATCTTTTGATTGATCGTAAGATAACACATACCGGGTGTTGAAGGCTTGATCACTGGACACTTGGGCGTTTTTTTCTTTAAAATTTCTAGTACTTGTGATTGCCTTTTTTCATCGCCGTCTTCTTTTTATTTCGTGTTGTTGTTTCCCTTTTGATAATCGAGGTTTTCTGTGTAAATTTTGTGGGTTTTCGTTTGTTTTCAAACATTGGGCAGCAGAAACTGTAATTTCATGAACTGGGTCGCTCTGTTTTCTGTGTATATTTTGTGGGTCTTCGTTTGTTTTCGACCATTGGGCAGCAGAAACTGTAATTTCTTGAACTGGGTCGCTCTGTTTTCTGTGTAAATTTTGTGGGTTTTCGTTTGTTTTCAACCATTGGGCAGTAGAAACTGTAATTTCTTGAACTGGGTCGCTCTGTTTTCTGTGTAAATTTTGTGGGTTTTAGTTTGTTTTCAACCATTGGGCAGCAGAAACTGTAATTTCTTGAACTGGGTCGCTCTGTTTTCTGATTTTTCTTTGAACTTTGAAAGAAGTTGGGGATCATGGCTGCACCAGCCTTGGCCCTTTATGTTGGTTGCATATACAAAGAAACCTGGTTTTTGCATGTCTTCTACTGGTTATTGTGTTCTGAGTTATAATCTTGCCTTTCTTTCTCTCAGGCGGCAGAAGCGAGAAAATTGTGGGAATTTTGAGTGAAATGGTTGGTAAAGACATTTTGAGGACAGAGGACGTGAAGATGTGGTTTGAGAGAGTAATGAATCGACTTTGGTGCTAAAGGAGTTATAATATGGACGGTGGGGTGCTAGCCGGAT